GTAGAACTTATATCGACTTATCAAGATACTTTTGATCTTTTGCCGCCAACCCCTTCTTCCATTGATACTCTTGGTCGCTTCGATTCAAAATATCAAAGTGGTCAAAGTCTATTACTACCACACCTTGTTCAACGTTTAAGGATTGGTGTTAGGTTTCTTATAGCCTAATATCTTCCTTGTTGTTCAAGATACTATCCACCTTTCTTCTATTTCTTTCATAAGTCATCACTACGCCTACACTTCCGCAACTATTCTATTCATTTATTTTCTTTCAAACCCAACCAAATTACCCTACACCAACCACCAAGCCCTCTCTTTGAACCTATCTTCTTTCATGTACTTGCTTATTCACTAGATCCACAATCAAAGGCAGGAGTGCCTTACATCATCTACCATATAATTCATGATATATATACACTTTAAATGTTCATGCATGGTATCTTCTATACAGTATTTTATAACCAAAATTGTATATGCATTCGGATTTGGTACTTTTGTATTTATTTTTTATACCTTTTATCTTTTATGTTTGTTCTATTATTTATATTTGTTGTTTATGATTATCATTTTTTAAAAATAGTATCTTTGTTTTCTCAAAAAAAATAATATCTCTATTTATTAATTTGGGGTAAGTACAATACAATATCTCTTTTTATTATTCATTTGAGTAATTTAACTCAATTTTATTTTTCTTAAAAAATGAACTTATTAAATTTAATCAAATTGGTCTCTAAACATTATTTTAAATCAAATTAGTTCTAAAACTTGAGTCATTTTGTTCACCTGAATTTACAATTTATTAACAAAAGTTCAAGGAAAAATTCAACTAAAGGGTCAATTTAATATAAAAAAATCAAGGATAGTTTAGCCAAACTAGCCAAATTCATGTAATATTTTGTGTTTTAATATATGAATTTGAGTTTGTATGACTTTGACGGGACCAAAACCATCATGTATATATTATATGAATTTGAGTTTATAATTTATTCATATATAATTTTTAATATAATTTATATTAGTGTATGTATAAAAAAAAAGCGAATTGAAAGCTATTATCACTGTTCAAGTTGACATATTTATGTAAGTAAAGCTTAATTTAAAGGTAAACGAGGACACTCTTTATGTCACGATCTAGCTTTTGAATAATTAACATATTTCTATAAATTAACAGAGCTTTATAGAATAGATGAAAAAGGTAAAAGATAACAAAAATTAATTAAAAAGTAGATCAAATTGTACTAGAGATATAGTGGAAAATATCTTAATAATAGGGTTTCTAGTTATGTAATGTATTCAATGATTATATGCATTAAATGGTATTAGCCATAAGCATTACTTTGAACATGAATATCAAATTAAGATACTAAACTGATTCAAAAAAAATTAAATATTAAATTTAAACATTTGTCAAATTCAAACATTTGATTTTTTTACATGTAAATATACACAGAGATCAGAGTAGTGATAAAATATTAGAAGGGATAAAATATTTAAGTTCAAAATAATAGTGACTTATTATGTATTTGATATTACGTATTTAATCTTAGAAATTGAAGGAGACATAAATCTAATAAGTTTAAACTAATAGAGACCTAAAATGATATTAGACCAAAAGTTTTAGGAGGATAGGAGTCTTGATCTTCCCATTCTCTATATATTGCATATACATATACTTAAAAGTAGGGTTGTTCAAAAAAAATCAGTAATCGTTAACTGGTATAATTGTTATATTTAACATGTTAATTAACCGAACTATTAATATTAAATGATTTTAGTTAACCGAACCGTTAAAAATGATGGCTAATGGTTAAGGTTACGATTACAAATTTTGATAAACGGTTAATCGATAATAAACTAAATTTATAATTTATTATATTTTTACATAAATAATTTAATATAATTTTTTTATTATTTCTAAATTATAATTTATATATATTTTTAATAAAATTTATGCACAAGTAACTTGATATATATATATATATGTATATATATATATATATATATATATATATATATTTTTTAACTTTTTATTTCTTTGGAAATACAAAAACATGGTTACAGAAATATAATTATTTATTTATTGTTAGGTACCAAGATATTGAGAGTTTTACATCCTTATATCAGTGTAAGTACGTGTTAAGTGCTACACATTTCTATTTTATTCACTTACACCAATGTACCGCTGCAAGTATGTGTTAAATGTTATACTTTTTGTATGAATTATGAAAATTTTTGAAAATAATTATAATAAATTTATTGTAGGTTAACTTGTAATTGAACCATTAATAACAATTAACCGTTAGTGATTAGCCTTTTTTTAACAATTAGGTTACAGTTAGAAAAATCTCATAACTATTATAACGGTTAACTAACCATATTAAATGGTACGGTTAATTGTATATGAATAGCCCTACTTAAAGTAGGAAAGAATGCAAATTTTATCTCATGGTGTCAGCAATTAACTTAAAAAATTATGTTAAAAATTTAAAGGTAAGAAATTAGACCATAAATAAAAAAATTTAAAAAATATATTTTTCTCATAAAATTTTTAAAGAGGCAATGCACCTAGTATTTCTCTATCCATCCGGTTTAGAAGAATGTGAATGTGATAATATTAAACAATGACGTATAAGAATAAAAGAGGCACATGAATCAATTTATCTCTGTTGTTAAATAAATTGTTGTTGTTCTTAGAGATTATGGATTCGAGCACCAACGGCTCTAGTAAAATGTTTGAGCTTTTATTATATAATGGTTGAGAGTATTTAGAACATATATTACTTTAATAAAGAAAAGTAAAAGGAGGGGATGTTTTAGCTGAAATTGTTTTTAACGACTCAGGTTTCTCTCAAGTGTTTAAACCTGTCTTTAATGCCTCAGCACATGGAGGGGTCTTCCTTGTGAATCATTTAAATGAATGGCCTGCAATAGGTGTTGGATATTTATTAATATTTAAACCTTTGTCTTTTTTTGTATTTATTTATTTATTTATTTACAAGGAATTTACGAAATCAATGTTAAATAAATTTAATTTTAAACATTAAAATTTTTTCTTTTTTATTATGGAAATAAATAATTTTGCGAGGCTATGAGCTATTTGTTTCTTTATTCCATTTTGGAAAAAAAAAAGTTTTTCTAAAAAAACAATTAAATAATTTAGAACCTTAGTTAATTGAAACTTTCAAAATAAACAAATTTTAAACATTGGTCAAATGTTTCAGAACAAAGTGCAATTAAGATGAAATAAATTCGAGGGTACCTTTTAAAAAAAATATCACAATTTGCTTTCCAGCCCCTTGAATTTAGATGTGATTATCATTATTGTTATTAATGTGGAAATTAAAACCGTTTGTTCTCCTTTAATTTTACTATATTAATTGAAAAGTTTGGACATTTATTTGGTAAACCCTAAAATAATATTTCTTAACTTCTAAGTATAAAATTTAATTAATTATTTGAGTTCTTAGTTCATGTGTTGTCAATCTATTTAAAAAGAATATTTTTAATTAATTTTTTGGTTTGATTTGCTTTCAATCACCCACTACATGGCACATTAACTACTTTCAACATTTCTTAATTGATATATTATACGTAATATATAAATAACTCTATATAATATTTTCTCATAAATATATTAAAAAATAAATATAAATTATTTAAAAATTAAACACAAGAATAGGGACCGTTTGTTTTCATGTAATTGATTTTTTTGGAAAATGTTTTTCTTATTTTTCAGTGTTTGGTTGGTTGAAAAAAGATGGTCAATGTAATTCATTTTCTTGGTCAATTGAATTTCCTTTGATTTTTTTTTTGGAAAATGATCTACGATTTAATTTTTCGTAAGTCATTTTACGAACTTTTCACATCAAAATATAAACACTTAAAATATCATAAAAATTTGTACTAAGAGATTGACCTATATCAAAAGGGTAATAAATTTAGTTTGCTTTAAATTTAATATCATAAATTATTGCTTGAGTTATTCAATTTTTTAGAAAAAGATTTTGTTATAAATTTTGTTTTGTTATAAATATAGAATTTGTTGTAACTTTTAAAATTAAAATAAATTAAAATAAAAGGTTAAATTTTTTGTCACTATACATGGCACCATTTGATTTGAGGGTTAAGTTTATCTCAATTTATTAAAATTAGAACCAAATTTATAGAATATATAAGCAACAGTGACCAAATGTGTAATTATACCAAATATTTTAACTACCACATCAGCTTCTCCGTTAAATATTAACAGGAAGTGACTTAATTGAATGCATTAAAATAATTGAGTGACATGATTAATAAAATTTCAAAAATATTGATCAAAATGAAAAAGGGATAATAGTTATGTGGTCACTGGTATAGCTTATCATTTATTTTAAATAATCTATCTTTAATTTTTTTTAATTAATTTATATTTATACGTTGAATCTTTTAAAATTTAAATTTTTATAAATTAAACTAATGTTACTTGCATTTAGTAATGCGCATCGTTGCTCGTGAGCATATAAGAATCATCCCTATTCACTTGAGACAAATCCTTTTATTAATTGGATTCCATTTTCAAAGTACTTTCCTTTTGCTTTTGAAAATTGAACTAAAAAAGATGCTCACGGTTCTTTCATTTATTACTTAGTTGAACGCCCTCTAAAAAGTATTGGATAATTCTTCACCACTTTCTTTTCTTTATTTGTTGCTTTTTGAACATTTCACACTCTTCTTATTAAGAAACCGAATCATGTTTTAAGTAGTAATGTGTACAGTACATTGCCAGATATATATTTGGATGCATGCTAAAAACATATTTTGACATTGATTTTATTTATATTTTTAGATAATCTATGTGACTATAAGGTTAAAATTTATTTTTGCATATTAATAATGTATATATTCTACAAACACAATTGTTTAGATTTCGATCTTTTACGAAAAACAACTTTAATTTTACGAACATTCTTAAAAGCAGAAAATAAGAAATTCTTTATACAAAGATATGGCAAGTAATACTAGATGGAAGGAAGACACAAGGGAAAGAAGAGGGAGTGGGTGCAACGAAATATTATCGTCGCTATCTTTCGATTCCGGCTTCTTCTCATCGTTGATATTACAATTATATCGACCAGGACGAAACCATATTGTAAACAAGACATGATCGGAAACAGTTGGTGCCTGCGGATTAACGATATTAACGGAGATAGTTAACTAACATGGAGAAAGGAACCAAGCACAACCCTCTTTTGTTTAACTCTGTACAATCTTTCTTCCCGTCATGGAAATTCAATTTGTTTTCTTCTTCTTCTATATGTATGTCTGAACAATTCTCTGCACTTTCCTTCCCCTAAAACACACACACACACGCACATACACAAAGCTATTATAAAAAATGTTGAAAGTAGAAAGTTGAAGCCATCAACTTAAGGAAAAAAAAAACATATACATATACATACACACACTTATATATGGATATTAATTATCAAGATGATTCTGAGAATAATCGATTTTTACCAGAGAACTATGTGCAGCTTCATTTTCTCTCTTTCTGGGATTCATATTGATTGATTTCCAATCATCACTAACCTATTAAAAAGTTGTTGAATTAAAACCATCAACTTAAGAAACAGCAAAGCTAAAAAATACAGTATATATATTTATATATATTACCTTGGGACTATTGACCGGTGAGCTAGCGGTATCCTCCAATGAATCATCCTGGTCGCTAATCTCTTCGGCTCTTGTTTTCTTGAACCTCAATTTCCTGGGAAAAACACGGTGATGATGGTCGATATTAGTGAGGGTCGACGATGATTTCCATGCATCTCCTCGGGTCATTGCGGCATCGGAGATCAACGAAGAACCACAGCTGAAACTCGAACAATAACTATTTTGCTGCTGCAGCTGATGATGATGGTGATTATTGTTGTTTGAGAAATCTTCAAAATAAGCAGTCCAGCCGCTTTCTTCGACTGAATCGTCGTCCTCGGGTGATGTTTTTTGTTTGGAAACAGCAGATGAATTGATGATGGAGTAATCTTCCATATCCAGAAAGGGGAGAGCTTCTATGGATTTGAAAAAAATAGTCGAGAATCACTTTACAATGAAGGATTTATAATGAGAGAGAAAAATTAGTTCATCAAAATAATAATACAAAAAAGGGAACCCATGGTTTAGAATCTTGGTGAGACCCAAGAGTGGGCCAAGGATAGTTTGAGGAAATTAAAGCAGCAGTTGCAACAAAACATATAAAAAAATAAAGTAAACTACTTATTTAGTCACCCACTTGTTCCTATAGTTCTATTTCGGTCACTCAATTATTTTTTTCAAAGTCATACATTTTTTTAAAGAAAGGGTCTCATTAAAACCCCTTCTAAAACCTACAAGGGGAAAACAACGCCCACAAATATATTAATCATGATCAAAATCATGAGTTACAGCAGAGCTAATAACCTCGGGACAAACCAAGTCAAAGAACAACATATTCCCTGGTCTAAGTGCCCAAGAGACTAACTCATGGGCCACCTGGTTACAAAAACTGAGAAAGATGCATTGGTCTGCAAGATGGATCGAGCTTCAACCAGATGAAATCCTAGGGTGGACAAATCTGCTACATTCAAGACAGTTTATCAGCCAGCATTGTCGAATCAGTCTCAAAAGCAACTTGGTGTCGATGGTTATGTTACGTTTTGGTTCTATTTTTATCATCCGTCTTTAAAAAAATTAACGGTGATACTGATGTGTCATCATAAGATAATACTACATCATCATCAAAAGAATAAAAACATCACGGTGGACGATTAAAATAGAATCGAAATGTAATATTACGTATGATTTTGAAAAAATAATTAAGTGACTAAAACAAAATTTAAGTAATACATGGATGAACCAAATAGATAGTTTACCTAATACGAAATTAAAGTTTGGCTGAGAGAGAAGAAGAGAACGTGCAAAAGGAAAGGTAAGCTTATTTTCTATATATATAAATAAATATTAGTGTATAATTAATAAAAGGGGAAGACGTTGACCTTTCAAGTTTAAATTGGCACTCAACAATGGCAACCATTTTCTTTGTTGGGACTGACCTTTCAACCAAAAACAATTAATTAGTCAATTAAATTTAATCCCAATATTACAAGACTCAAAGACTCCAACAATGATCATTTTTAAATAAATAATAACTAACGGGTTGAATCAAGTGATAAACAACTTGATATTGGTTAAGCAAAGTCTCAGGTTCGAGTCTTTATGTATGTAAAAAATCTCTACTATGAGACTCACCTACAAAAGCCAGGTGTGATAATATTCTAAGTTCAGAATTTTGCCCATATGAGTGGAGACAAAATTAGGATTAATTTTTTTTGACAATAATTTTGATTAAATTTTAAGAGGATTAAGTTGATTAATTTTAGATTTATTAAAAATCTAACAAGGGTTTAAATTCAAAATTTTAATGAGTGAGACTTAATTTGTTATATATTTAAATTAACAAGATCTAAATTGCTATCAAACATAAAATTTTGAAGACATGACCCCTCTCAATTAGGGATAGTAATGGGTCGAATTAGGTCAGGTTTTCAATTAAATCAAATAGTATTCCCCTCCATCATGTTGGTAATGCAAAGAATCTTACATTGTGCGTCTCTTTTTAGACATGATCCTCTTAATAGAATATTATTTTATTAGTTTATATTTTACTGCTTCTAGTTGTTACAAAATATTTAATACATTTTATGGTAATTAAAACAAGATTTATAAAAGTTAATTATTTTGTAATTGTTATTAGATTTTTTACCATTTTACCTGTACTTTAAACTTGTAAATAGAGGTTGATTTTCCGTTTCGATATATACAACAATAAGAGGAATTTTCTCTTATTCTTATTTCTTTTTCTAGTATTAGTTTTTGATAACCGGTCTATAATCGGAGAGAAATATTTCTAACCCCAATTCTCATCTTTCCGAGAAGAGCATTATGACTTCCATATTTGTCGAATGTACGAATATTGAAAAATTGTGTTAATCTTAAAGGATAACATCTATTTCTGCGATTAAACTAATCAGAGTGATGTTTTTTAAGCCAAAGGTTTTTTCGTGGCACAATTATGGACGTATATTGAATTATTTTGTCTGATATCACATAACAATCGAGCATAGATTATAGAAAGGAACTAATCTCACATAATATCGATAACAATTCATACATTTATAACAAAAGATTGCATGATCTCACTAAGCATCATACTAAACATATGCATGGATAGCTAATATTCTACCACCACATGCGGTTACAACATACAATAAAGCCAATATGTCACACATGTTAACGTTTGTTCGATAAGTTCAATCAAGGTAGCATAACTACAAAATCATATTTACAATTTATGTATTAGGAATAATCAATGGCAGATCCAAAAATAAATTTAGGATGGTCACATATATATTAATAATATAATTTTTTTAATACGATAAAATTTCAAAATGGGCACCATAGAATTTAAGGGTGGGCACACATACATTAGTAAAGAAAATTTTGATTTTTAAAGAAGAAAATTTGAATTCTAGTAAATTTCAAGGTAGGCACATGCCTACCTTAATATCAATGTGGATCTGCCACTTGGCGTAATTCTTGCCTTGCATGTCTTTATATGTCCTATTTTTAATCATAACTTGTTCTCTCTCTTAGAACATTATACAAAAACATAATATTTTTTATAGCTTTGTAATACCTCAAATTTTGGTTAGTAACTAAAACGTAAGTTTTGAAAGTTTTATGACCAAAATATTTACTTTGTAAAAGTTTAGGGACCATAAATATAATTTTTAAAATTTATATATTTTGGACCATAAATGAGTAGTTTATTCTGAAATTGATGTTTTCGTGGGAATAAAAATTTTGATTTGATATTTGTGTTAAAAGCTATAATGCAATCAGATAATCGATCAAACCGGAATTTCACAAAAAATGGATGATGATAGAAAAGGGTTAGAAATATTATTTTCATAATTTAGAACAATGAAATTTAATATGGATCAATGGAATTAAGGTTGATTTCCCATGTTAAGCCAAAATTGTGAAAATTGGTGACTAAATTACAATTATCGAAGATTGCCAAGGATAAAGTTGGAAAGTCAATTTTTTGGTCATCTTTGACGTTAGAATATTAAAATGGAAGATATTTCAATGGAAAGTTAAAATTATCATGTTTCATTAAGGGCCAAATGATAATTTTACATTCATTGAATTTTTAATTCAACTATATTAGAATCAAGCCAAGTGTATTATGATAATTATGAAGAAAAAATAAAGAAAATTTAAGCAACTTCTTCCAGCCGTGACATTCATTGAAGGTAAGGGGAGCTGTTTAATTTTATATTTAAGGTTATTCGATTGATTTTTAGGTTAAGCTATTAGATAGAGAATTAATCTACTTGCAATTCTCTATCATTTCGTATAAATAATTCATGGAGAACATTTTTGGATGATGAAATTCATGATTAGAGTTCATAAAGAACATGTTGAATTTTGAATAATTAAAGGATGGTTTTTATGTTATTGCAGTAAAATGGGTTTTTAGCGGCGTTGTTTGAATAAACGCCGGTAAAAATCGTATTTTAGTAGCGTTTTTATATAAACACATCTAAATACTGTACTTTAGTAGCGTTTTTGTATAAACACTGCTAAAAATATTACTTTAGTGACGTTTAAGCATAAACGCCGCTAAATACTGTAATTATTTAGAGCTTTTAATAAACGCCGCTAAATAATATACTTTAGTGGATTTTTATACAAACGCCGCTAAAGAGTCTTACTTTAGTGTCTTTTATGCTTAAAACGCCGCTAAATACTCATACTTTAGTGGCGTTTTTATACAAATGATGCTAAAAACTCATACTTGGATGGGGTTTAAACATAAACGCCGCTAAATAATATGTTTTTTTTACTAACGCCGCGAAATACTCGGACTGACCTTTATATATATGTATATATATACACCACATTTAACCAAATTTAGCAAACCCTAGCCCTAAACTCAACTCTGGGCAGCCTCATGCTTTTGAGAAATCTCACCTCTCCTCTCTCGGCCGACTCCTCGACCCAAGGCTTTCACTCTAACGTCACCGGCCACTCATTGGCCACAACTTATCGGTGGCCATACTCCGATTCCGATAGCTAAACAAACCAAAATTGACCCCAAATTGTGTTTATAACCTTTGGTTCCAATGAAGAACATTTTACTGTTCTTCACTCTGTTTTCACCAATGAAGTTCCTCTTTCGATCCATTTCCGGTAAAAGTTTCAAAACTTTACAGATGCCCAGTACTCCCATTTGGGAGGTTGATCGAACCGATTGCTTATCTCATTTCGTTTCGTGTATTTGTTGTTGTTGAAAACAGGTCCCAACAAGACACTGCTTCGAGCATTGGGTCGCCGCCAGTTTTCGGATTTAACTGCAGAAAAAGCCAAACGGAATTACGCTGACAATGTCTCCTAGTACAACACTGTTTATTGTCTTTTTTTTTTTTTTTGGAAAGGTAAATGAATGAAGAGTGAAGAACCTCTGATATGTTTAAATGGCTTCCCGTGATGAGTTTTGAGCCAAATATTGTTTAACTTGGTTTATTTTCAGGCAGCATCAGCTGTTATCAAAGAATCCGTTGAACCGATCTTGGAAGAATACCGACCTACATGAGTTAAGTCACTGAAGTTCAGCAAATTGTCTCTTGGAACTGTAGCTCCGAAGATTGAAGGTATAAATCTACGGATTTGTTTGTTAAGCATGTTTCTGTTTCCGTCATTTTTCATGTGCAGCAATTTTTTATGTTCCGATTTGGGTTTTGTGTCTGTGAAATATCACTGTGGTACTTGATGAAGTTTGAGAACTATTCGCTATTTATGTTCTATACAAATTCAATAAAAAAAATGCTTTACTCTGTCATTTAATAAAAAAAATGCTTTAACAATACTTTCTTGCTGTAGGATAAGGATGGAGTGCAGCATCAAATATCTATCCTGCTCTTTATCGGGTTATTTTGCGGCCTCTTGTTGCTTATCTTGTCATTTTGCTTTGGTTCGTGGGCATTAACAGGTAAAAATGACTGGTAAAGTCTTTTTTTTATCAGTTCCAGATAATTAAAATGCAGGATGCTTATTGACCTTGTTGACTGGCTGTATCTATTGTTTCCACTTATGATAGATGGCAAGAATCCTAATAAAAATGAATTCATTCTGCCATTTGATCATTTCAGTTTTTTCTAGGCCAAAAAATGCACATCTTGTACCTGCTGGAAACACATATATTCAGGTTTACTTTCTTCAATGTTTATTTCCTATTTAACCTTTCAGTTATTCTCTCTTAGGCTTTCTTCCTTTTATGGACATAAACCTTGGAATTTGTTAGACGGAAAGGTAACTTTAGTAATGGAATTCGTACTTCTTTAAATCAGTTCTATTTCCTTTCCTCTTGATTGTTCACGGTTCAGAGATATTTAAGGGAATGTTCATTTTCGGAAAACTGAAGCACACTTATTTTGTAGATTTCGTACTTTTTCTCTGGCTATAGGTTATATCTATCCAATGGGATGTCAAATTAATGAATTGGCCAACTGGGTCCACTTAACTCCTGAAATATGCTCCATCTTTAATAGGTTATCAAATTGAAGTGTTATATCTGCTTTCAACTGGTCATGTGTTTATCATATCATGTGATGGAGGGTAGAAAGCAGTCTTCTGGAGGTTATTCTGCCCTAACTGGACTTGGGGCTCATAAATTTTTCTTTGGAACTTAAGCCGTTACTATTTGCATCTGCTTGGTTGACATCTGTTATTTGAAATCCATCCTATTACTACCATCTTTTATGAGTTATTCCTACAGCTAGTTATCCTCTTGGAGCAACAAGTTGAACTGAACTGTCTAGTTTTTATTCTTATGACTTCTTCTCGTCTTGATTATTTCCATTGCCTTTTAATTGAAACAAAGTCTTTTCTGCATGTAGATTAGAGGTTTAGCATGGCCGACAGTTGTAGTTGGATGAGTGGCGCAAAATGCCAGGTGTGATGTATTTTATTTTCTCCTCCCAGTGAATTGTGTTTCGAATGAACTTGCGATGCATTTTGAGTTATCGGCAAACTGTAATATGGGATGTATACAGAAAGCTTAATATTATTATTATTATTATTTGTGAAATGAAACTGCTTTTGCAAGACTCCTATTCTATATGATCCAGCTATAACCAAGGATGTCAGCTAATAAGCTATTGGATCTTTTATGATCCTAGTATTCATCATCTATTTTGTGGGATATATTTTAGTCAATATCCATTTACGTACTCTGCAATATTATTTTTGTCCAATACTGGCATACTTGTTTTAGTAGGATTCATTCTAGCCTGATTGCTGATGGATTTTCCGTTGTTGATTTACCATGATTGCATGTATTTGTTGCTTCATTTCCTTTTTGTTTCTCTCACACTCTCTTTCTGTCGCCCAGCCTTGGCATGAAAGATTCCTGGGGACCATTGAAAGCTTTGGCTGTTGCCAGTGCCATAAATGGTATTGGTGATGTTGTCCTCTGCATGTATTTAGGCTATGGTACTGCTGGGGCAGCGTGGGCAACAATGGTTTCACAGGTGCTGAATGAACCCAAATTTCCCATTTGTACAAGTGTTCATTGACTGGGAAATACTCTTTCGCATTCCCACTTACCGGCATATGTTCTAGGTTGCTGCAGCTTATATGATGATCGATGCTCTAAACAAGAAAGGGTACAATGCATTTGTAATCTCCATTCCATCATTTAATGAACTGTTGATCGTGCTAGCAATTGCTGGTACAGTAGTTGTAACTTTGATGTCAAAGGTCATTTAACTTCATTTAATAGCAATATCTTTTACTCTGCAACCATATGCTTTCATCTGAGATGCTTCGATGTTCTTTTTAGGTAGTTTTCTACTCTCTCCTTATATATTTCGCCACATCCATGGGAACACACACTGTTGCTGCTCATCAGGTTAGATTTTACTCACGCTTGTGATTCTTGGTCATTTTTCTGCTTTTATCTTGCATATTTGAAATTCAATAACCATTCTCACCAAGTCATGCTTCAAATATTTGCCATGTGCGGGGTGTTGGGTGAGCCTCTCTCTCAAACTGCACAGTTATTTATGCCCGAGTTGATATATGGGGTCAATCGAAGTTTTCCAAAGGTTGGTTACCTCAACTTTGGTTTTATGCCTCTTCCGCATTGATAAGTAGTATGGAATCTTTCATTTTGGATGCAGTCCCCAAACATGTGATGAATTATTTATCATATCAAACAGGCTAGAATGCTGCTAAAATCACTTGTCACTATCGCCGCCGCACTTGGACTGCTATTAGGGATTATTGCGACATCAGTTCCTTGTTTTTTTCCCAATATATTTACACCAGATATAAAGGTCATACATTAGGTCAGTTCATGTTTGCTTATGGCGTGACAAGCAGTGGGAAGACTCATACGAAGAGCAATGAAGACTAAATTCTAGTGATTTATGACTTAAAAACTATCATTTCCACTTTTACACAATTTCATATTTGTCTTGAGGTTGCTTGCACCCTGTAAATGAATTGAACGTTCAGTGAACCGTTCATGAACCGTACGGTGAGAAGTTCGTTTATGTTCGTTTATTTATTAAATGAATGAACATGAACAAGATTTTGCGTTCGTTTAATTAAATGAACGAACATGAACAAATGGCTCGTTCGTTCATTTACGTTCGTGAACGTTCGATTATATGTTCATTTATGTTCGTTCATTTATGTTCAAATAGAGGGCAAGTTGAATATGTTACGAAGATTATTGAAGTTGTTTGGATTTCAAGAAGATTGTTTTGTTGACAAATTCACTTTAAGACTTTATTATGTTCTTATAGTTTATTTATGATTTATGTATGTTTTTGTCGTATTCGAACAAATTAACTCTAAAGTTGTAGGTTATATTAAATAATTTTAAGTTGTTATTCTTATTGTTTACTTTTTTTACATTCAATTGTTGTGTTCGAATAAGTTTTCTTTTGTTTATGTTGTTCGTTTATGTTCATTTATTATGTTTGTATATTTTGATAATTTTCATCTCATAGGAGTTTTTTTTTTTAATCTTTTTCACTCGTACGAGTATTTAAATCACTTTATCATTTAAAGCAAATTCAAATATTTTATTAATTGAGGGTCTTATAAATATTTTAACCCGAAATGACAATTTGGGAAAATTTTATTTCTCAAGGACACGTCAAACATTACTTGAATATCATATCATGTTGATATATCACTTCACTATCCATTATTAAAATGTTATATTGTGTAATCATATTCGACCAACAAAGCATCGTGCTTACGGAAGCCATGAAGCACTTCAAAGTTTGAGATATACTAATCTTACTTGTTTGACTCGACATTATTCACCTTTGATTTGAGATGTCTGCATAAGCGATACAAATTCAACAAATGGATATTCAGGGTATTTATCCACATTTGTTTTAAATTTACAACAAGTTTAAATTCATGGAAAACCAATTAAATTTTCAAATTCGTGATCTGAATTATCATTCTTAATTTATTTACATTAGACCATTCACGAAATATAATGGAATATCTTTATAGAAGCGAAATATGACCGATGATGACTTAACTCTTAATAAGACGCTAGTTAGTACTAAACTAATTGAAGCAACTCATGTTGGCATGAAGTACCTACATAAAAAAGTGACGCTCTATTATATAGTATATGTTTATTGAAAAAATTAAGGTGGGCGAGCCAAAATTACATTTTTTTTATTTATAATTTTTTATATTATATCTTGTTTGATAATATATTTAAAAAATAATTAAGTAAAAATTAAAATTTTCATTGATTAATTTTATAAATACATTTGATAAAATTAAATGATAAGTAATGCTTGTACTTTGGGTATGGGTTAATCAGACTTGGAAATACATTTTGAGTCCATTGACGGTGAATGGGCCTTATTATGTGTCGTATGGGCAGAGTTTGCACTTTGATAATTGAAAATGATAATAAATTTTGCAATTATCAAAGTATCCTAGCCCTACTACATCCAAATTTTAAGTAATTAATAGTTAGCTTCATTCTTTTATGTATTCTCATAATTAATTTCAGAAATATTAATTAGTTTGAGGTGGTTCAGTCTATCCTAAATAATCTTATTATATATATATATATATATATATTGTTTGATAATAATTTTATGTTAATAGTTTTACATTTTTATAATTATATTTTAATAAAAAATATTTTTTTAATAAATAAACAGTTGATCTGCCATTTTCACCTATGAAAAATTTTTATAAAGAAAATTATATCAATATTGATTGAATTTAATTCGATTGGTATGTCGTTAAAATAGTACACGAGGATATAGAATCAAACATATTTGAATGTTTAAATATCTTTAAATACACAGGTGAGAGAGGTCTAACATCTAACTAAGTAGTATAAACTTTATGTCAATTTGTTAAAAGTATATTTTATAAAATTCCTTACCAAATATATTTTTTAATATTAAATAATTTAAAACAGTAAATAATCTTCAACATTATATCAAAATTCAAACTAATAACTAATTTTTCATTTCATTAGTTCGTAAGGCCTTTTATAGCTGATCAAAGATGCTCTAAATTGATTGGCAAATGATCATGTTCACATTGATCGATCCAAGCAAAAGAACAAAAGCATGGTGGCAAGCGTTTTTCATGTTACTATGTAGTTGAAATTTCTTCTTTAATTGATAAGACTTTATCCATTAAGCCAAGACCTCTCATTGCTTCCCTCTCTAATTTTGGTGTTCCATAATTCAACAAATAGGGGTAAAAATAGTTATTCTAATCAAAGTAGTCAAATATTTAAATTTGAAGGGGCTAAGAATTTCTTTTATATATAATATTAAGGATTAATGTGAAAATAAATGTTTAAACTATACCGTAAGTTAACTTTAGGTTTCTAAAGAATTTTTCGTTAAAAATAGGTGTTTAATGTTTTCTCCATTATACTTTTAGGTGTATAGAGTTTTTTCCTCTATACTTTTAGGTGCATAGCGTTTTCTCTATTATATTTTGAGGTGCCTACGCATGAATGATTGTTAAAAAAAAATCTTTTATATGATGTCTATGGTTTCGCTTAATACAAAAATAATAATCCAAACTATATCCAAAGCTAACTTTAGGTGCCTAAAGAATTTTATCACTAACTATAGGTCCTAAATGTTTCCAACGTTACACTTTTAGGTGTGTAGACTACATCGAAATTAAATTTTATATATTTTAAAAAATTTTATTTTTTTAAATATTTAAAATATTATTTTAAAAAATATTTTTAAGAAAAAAATTACCCCTCCTACCTATGTAAAAATTTTCAAAGCCCCCAATCGCCCAATAAATCCCTAAAGTTAACTTATAGTGAGATGATAAATGTAGGATAGAATTTGGGATTTGAGTATTAGGTTTATGAATTTAAATTTAGATTTATGGATTAAGGGGATTGAGACTACATCAAGAGAGGGTGATCGATAGTGGAGGTTCGATGACGGCTGAGTGGTCTTTCGAGAATAGCAAAGGTGACCGATATGAGCTACAACGATCTATAATGGGTAAAATGAGAGATTTTAGGGTAGCAAGGTTTTTTTAATTTTAGAAAAATTTGTATTTTTAAATTAATAATATTATTAAGTTTTGAAAAAATAAAAAAAATATAAACATTATCGGTGTCACTTAATGATTTTTTAATGGTCATTATTATAGGCACCTAAATGTGTAACACAAGAAAAATTAGTTATCTATTTTTAACAAAAAATGTTTTAGACACCTAAAGTTAATTTTTAACTTAGGGTATAGCTTGTGCACTTATTTTTTTCATTAAGCCAAAATATAAACATAACACATCACACGTGTCACTTAACGAGTTTTTTATCGGTTGTTACTGCTTATGTACCTAAAAGTATAACGAAAAAAACATTAGACGTATAAAATATAACAAAAAAAATATTATGCACCTATTTTTAACGAAAATTTCTTTAAACACTAAAGTTAACTCAAGGTATAGTTTAAACATTTATTTTTGCATTAAGCCTAAGATTAAAGAATTTAAAATTTTATATCTTAACGAGTCGAGAGTATATCAATCACTTTGTATTATCATCTAGTAATTTGAGAATAATCGAGGAAAGATGAGAGAAATTAATATTTTCTTCTTAGTGAATATGTTGTACTCAAGACATTTCACCATCTCTACAAAATCAATTTCAATGAGCATGAAAATCAAAATTATGATTCTAATTAAACATTCTACAATTACAAGATTTATCAATTTTGAGTATCGCAAGTCGAATATCCATAACTTAAACTTTTGACCAATTAAATGCACCCTATAATTATTTAGTCACTTTATTTATATAATTATTTTTTTAAATATTAATATTCAATAAATCCAAGTTGAGACATAAAATAAAGAAAATATTCGGGTAGAAGACATTTCAATGAAGAAGATGTAGAGACGTGTAGCGATTGTTATTGGGGGGTCTAGCTTCATTGCTTAGACCACAACAACCAACAAGCAATAGATGAAAAAAGTTGTCAAAACTTTAAATAGTATTGCTTTTAGAAGAAGAAAAAATCCGAAAAGATTGGAAATTTGAAAATTCAATTTTAGGGCAAAGTACAAAAATGATCATTGACTATAAAATATTGTTTTATTGAGTCCTCCAACTTTTAAAAGTTACAAAATGGTTCTCTGACTATAGGACGTTACTTTCTTAAGTCCTCGAATATTAAAAATTACAAAATGGTCAACCGACTATTCATTGTGTTTCAAATTTATCCTTTTTCGTTAAAATTATGGTATATAGGACGTTACTTTCTTAAGTCCTCGAATATTAAAAATTACAAAATGGTCAACCGACTATTCATTGTGTTTCAAATTTATCCTTTTTCGTTAAAAAATTATGGTAGTTTGAGCTGGACGTTAACATGTTGACTGAGATATGATAGTCGTTTAAGATTTGGGTTCATATTATATAATATCTCAGTTAATAGGTTAACGTTCAACTCAAATTGATATAATTTTTTAACGGAAAAAGATGAGTTTGGAACGCAATGAATAATTTGGTGACCATTTTGTAACTTTTAATAGTCAGGAGATTTAAAAAAGCATCATCTTATAGTTCTGGACAATTTTATAACTTTATATAGTCGAATGACTAAATTAAATAACATCCTATAGTCGGGACATCATTTGTGTACTTTATCCTCAATTTTATTATAATTTTCTTGCTTAATAAATTCTCTGATCCAACCAAGTTAGTTTGGAAATGTTATATACGAAGCAAACAAAACGAAATAAATAGGTTTGACTAATTAAATGGGACAACCGTTTGAATTTGGACGAAGCTCTTTAAAAGGCATTCCACTTAATCATATAAAAGAACATCATAAATGTTCATAAAATTAATTTTTTTTTGTTTTTAAATAATATGAATGATTA